CAGTGACATATCGAACGCCATCATGGTAGTTATGTGTGTCTGTAGTTACATGCTATTAAATATTTTATGTTGGTACAATTTAGGGGGTTGGAAGTTAATATTAGTATTTATTATAAAACTATAAAGTTCTGTTTAATATTCGCGCAAAGTAGGGGTCATATTGAACCGATTCCCACATATTGAAATCACATTTTGGCATAAGCTCGTCAATATTAAGTGAGAACGTTTTTCTTCCTTTCGGGCCAGAATAGTTCCACAGTTGGACCCAAGAGCCAAGAAATCCCTCTTTGCACGATTTTTTTTAAAAGTAATAGCCGGTTTTCATTAGTTTAAAAATAGTTACTCAGAAATGACAAATTATCATAGTATTTTATTGAAATGCGCACAAATTATTATAGCATGAATAGGATTAATAATGTCGCACTTACAGGGATGCGTATTCGAGGGAAAGTTTTAAAGTAGTTTTCTTCTTCTTCGTTATCCAGAAGATATCGGAATGAATGATAGATACGTCATTCCTTCATCGACTGCATTTGGAAGTTTAGTAAGATTCACGTCATCCGTCCCACAGACATAATGTCATCTTTTTTTTGCAGTGTGATGTACGATACGTATCTCGCCACCTGCTGACGCTCTTTCGAAGAACTCTGTAATAAATAATTTGAATGTCGTAATCAAATATAGGTAGAACTTGACTAACATGTCTGTGGGAGGGGGGGTGGTGGTAACCAGCTGTTCTTACTTGATGAGCCCACGCATTTCTTAACTCCTTTGTTATATGCAGTGGCCATTGAACCTGGCTTTAAAATGTATTTCTTCCTTACCTTTTCCATCACAAGTGTCTTTGTCATTCGTTTATTCTTCGTCAAGTTGTGGTTGTGGTAACATCTTCGCTTTGTAAGAAAGGAAGAAAGAATGTGTTCCCCAAATAACGTTTGAATCAGTTGAATTTCTGTGAAGCACAGCATGAATATGTTGTTGGAGACCTTCTTTATTCTTGGTGTCCTTCAATCGATGACACCGACATACGTGGTCTGCGAATATCCGCAGAGACAGAGACTGCGTCCAGGGCTGTTTCGGATTTGGTGCCGAAGAAGGGCATTTGTCTGTTGGCCCTACAAATGAGGTGTGTACGTGTAAGTAGATGTCGGTTCGGAGGAACATACTTCTCCATCTTCAGGGTTGAGCGATGACGAATAAGGCATTGTGCTTTTCCCCCGAAACGTCTGTATGTACCTTCAAGTCCATGCAGTGTTGCTACCCAGAAGATCAAGTTCGACAATTTTCCAAAACAGGTAGTGCAGACATGCGTTTTTAAAAATTAATTGATAACGTATCGGGCTCGTAGTAAATACATACACATTTGCTGTATATGTCTTTCTTTTATTAAAGTACAATAACGCGGGGGATACGTCCCTGGAAAGGGGCGTGGTCGGTTAATCCGCGTTGGGCGGACTTGTTATATGGAATTAGTGGGGATAAGCGAACGGGGCCGTGGAATGTCAAAGTAAGTAAACAATAAAATCTTAAATATAATATAATTATATTTATTATTAACAAACTGTACAATATAATTAAGTGTAACCGGAGAGGTCAGCACAAAAGTAAAATACCGGCTGGAAGGTATATTTGTTAAAATAAAGAATTAGCACAGAGTTGGGCATCAAACTCTTATCATATCCGACTGCCTTTAGCTTTGAAACAGTAGTGGTACCTTTCGTATGCTACTACCAGAGTATTTGGAAAACCGCGTGTAATCGAATTTTCCGCGTTCTGCAATCAGTTGGCATTTATTTTCACGCGTATGATCGAATCCGCGTTGGGTGAGGAGTTGCCGTGTACAGCTTTGTTACAAGCAGTAGGCTCATATTAGAGTAATAAACCTGCATTTTGTAACGTTCTCAGAAAGCAAGTTGCTCCTTGAATATGGCTGCCTCCATCATGTGAAGATGGAGGTAGCAGGAACCTCTGAAACGTCGGTAAACTTCTACCAGACTACACGGCGCAACAACCCAGAAGACGGACATCTTTAAACTCACTGCCGTGAAAACCTCAAATCATACAAGTTCGTCCCTAACTATGCAATATTTACATCTACATTTACAACGAAACGAAGGACGGCATTGACAAGGTGGAGGTGTAGGAAATGAGTTAACAATTGTCTTGCTTCGTGCCAGGTACAGAGAGACGAAGTAGAGATCAAACAAACCCGAGAGAGTTGGAGAAACTTGTTCCATAACGCTACGCATGGGCGTCCGCCCACTTTTGTATACTTTAACGTTAGGAATTGAAAGTTGATTTTCATTCTGCTAAAAAAAGTGGCCTATGTCCTGATCCACTAAGGAACATGTAGTTGTTTAAATAGGGAATTCAAGGCAGGACACCTTAACAAGAACTGGTCCAGTTGCTTGCATTTCCCTTTCAGCCGAGTGAACTTTTATGCCAGTATTATAGCTTGGAAACGCTTTATTATCCTAGAGATCTTTGAGAATTTATTTAAACTCTTCCACTAGCAAAAGCGATATATTTCGTTTAGAAACGCTACTGTCCTGCCAAGATATATTTTATTTAATTTCGACAGGACATAAACGCCTCTGTGCCTTTTTTATAAATGATAACGTTATATGAAACTATTTAATAACATGGGCACTGGAAATTTTAAAAAGATGAGGGTATTTATTGTTAGAATATTTTCCTTTTTAAGGATTGGTACCCTTGCCGTATTACATTCGTGGATTTTATATCTTCAACGAATTATGGATTTTCACGAATCTTGGTTTGGAAATTATGTTTTATCTAGATGTTTTTTCATTCTCCACCATAGATAACATCAACGTGGTTATTATGCGAACTTCTGCTGTGGGAGTGACACACTCGTCGCTTAATTGAACTGAAACAAATTGCAGTGTGCGGGTTTGAATTGGCTTAAACTGGCCCAGAACAGAAAGAATGAATAAAAGATCAAATGAACGAAACAAGAAGTTAAAGAGGTTCTACATTTGTATTTCCTTGTGATGGACGAAGCCTGCAATTATTTTAGCCTCCATTCATTGAGTCCTCTATCGTCTCTTGAAGGCAGCAAGCGCACTGCTACCAGACTACGCGGCGCAAAATCCCCAGAAGACAGTCTTCCTGTTTATAAGCCAATGATAGGCCGCTCTGAGCATGAATATTTATCAGCATTATTTATTTCCCTGATGACAGGGTTTTGTTACAGTCTGATCCTCCCTTCAAGCAATCTTGTCTCAATAAAAAATCTATAAAATATTTACAATGGAGAGGGTCATGTGACGATTCTGAACTTCCAGCATGTTGTTATTACTGGCTGTAGAAAATTAAAAGGTACGAAGTTAGTGTGGTCTTCAGTCGTATAACGTTCATATCAAATTTCACGAATATTGGTCGATTAATCTGTAGTTTAAAAGAGGTGACACCGGACACACACATAAGCTTACAGTTTCATAACCTTGTCCTTTTTCACAGGAAAGCAAATCTGCCTAAAAAGTACATGCGTCTAAAGCTTGACTATGTATGTATGAATGAAGGCGTACATGAACATGCCCGCTCGCGCACAGACGTATTCTTCTTGAGTTGGTGTGCAGTGAGAATATTGAATGAAGTTTTAGTATGCTAAGTGGGAAGGGTTGAGTATATGCTTGAGTTTCCGAATGTTTAATGGTTCTTCGAAGGTCATGGACAAGAGTTCTTGACCAATATGGCACGATGTGGCTACCATGTGCCAGTAAGGTAAGAGGATGACTGTCGATGCTGCCGTCTATTTGGAGTAAATGCCTGGAATATCTTAGTACACATTAAAAGCGCGTCCATATTTAACGAGTTGGCCCTATGGTCCGTTAATATAACGGGAGTGTCGCCGGCCAAGTTATCGGATCCGCCTATCTAGGCCTATATTAGTAGTTCCTCATTACTAGGGATTTTTATTTTTTGTTTATTTATTTAACTTACCTGTCACATGTTCAACCGAGCTACGAAACTCTAGTAATTTATGCTTCGAACAGTTTGTGCACCGTTAACGTACGAAAATTGTATTCGAGAACTTCCGGTTCTAAACTCTGGCCGGAATTGGCTGGCAGTTTTCGTGGTATCTGCCTCCAGAAAAATGTCAAGGTTGGAATAAGCCGTGATACGCTCCGAGTCCTTAATATTTGTGGCCGTATTCCCATTTCATTCAGCGCTGAATAAAGTCCGGTTGAAACGGCTCTTTTACCTTAAAACTAAACAAACCAATGTTGAGGAACTGGAACCTGTTCGGCGTAGTGCCCTGAAGTTTTTTTTGGCACTTGTGAAAAATATTCTGCTCTTTTATGAAAACGGAAAATAACAATATGGCGGCCGCGCTTAATAGTTTGAATTGACGTCGATAATTGTTAAAGCAATAAGTTTTTATACGGCGAAATGTTATCACATCTAATACTAGTACTGTGTGCGGTGGAATTAACGAAGTACGATCCTTTCAAAACGCAGACATTTACAGTTCCTCAGGTAGTACACGAATATTTTAGGGATCTGGTAACTATTTGCTATTCCTCTGCCAGTAGGCATACCCGGCTACTATTTCGTATCTAACCAATATTTACATTTTCCTACCGCACTATTCCCGTCTTCATTCTCCCGTTTCCTAATCCCTTTCGTACTTTTATATACGTCCTTTCAAATCATATTACATTTTCCACGAGTTCCGCTCTCATTTAAACAGAGTGCAAGCAAGCATGAACACGTGAAACTACTTTATAGAGAAATATTTCCAATCTATAAACCTACTACCATTCGGACACTTTACAATTCTGTGCTATCGCCCGCCTTCGTTAGAGATTTAGCCACAATCATACATTTTCAGTGCTGGTACCTGACAACAGTTCGATCTCAGGCTATCATTTTCGTGTAATCGAACAAACTGCATGTCAGGTTGTCTCCGCCGTATTTTATGTCCAGGTTATGTGGTCGTCTCTAGCTTTAATTGTCTGTCGCTTTTGTTTCAGTGTAATTGCAGAGATCAGTGACATCGATCGGCAATCACTTGCGTCCTAAAGCAGCCGTGCGGGGTGTCAGAATGGCCTCCTGCTGCATCTCGTTTGACGGTGGACTTTAGACAATTTACCATCGACTTCTTTCAGACCCTGAACGCACTGTTATGTTGGTTAGTACGACATTGTAGATTCTGTAGACGAGATGTGTGAATTTAATGCATGATGGAAAGGTGTTGTGTCCGTCCGCACGTTTAATTTCTGAAACTGCTTGACAGTTTTATTGACATTTGTTATTGGTACGTTACACCAATATTTGTTGGGCTCATTTAATTTGGATTGTAGTCTCGGGATTGTGGGAGGCTATCACCGTTTCGAAGGAACTAATCGTCTCCACCTTAAGGGTAGAAAACGTGTCTTCCAGAGGTCCATTTTAAATCTCGTCCGTACTGCCAAGCGGACGTTGGGTTTGTACCCTGAAACAGTGATCCCTCCGAAACTAATGCGTGCCCAAAGGATTCAAGTAAAGTATTTATGTAAGTCGGTTTTATCGTCTTATGCTTAATGCACGTAAAAGTGGCTATATAATGAGAAGATGTTGTTTCATAATTATATTTTGGTGTGTGTGCTCTGATATGGGTGTACGGGCCAAATTTTCATCTTCTACGATACGCTAGGGCTATTTGGCACTTAGTACAATCGCTGTTTACGAAAGCAGAACATGTATTAGCTGCATTCCGTCTTGTCTTTCTCGGTCATACCAACAAGGTAACATCATTTTAATTCCAGTTGCAAGTGTATGCACAGTGACACACAATTCATGTATGGAAACGAGACTGCAATGCTGATAATAGTTGTGATGCACAGAATGCATGACTGATGGATGACAGTGAGAGAGTCCATTTTCTCTGTGGCTGAGATGGGCTTCTTTGTCACTATCTCGAGTTTCCATGCCTCGTGATGGAATGATGGTTTGTAGCTACAGAATGCTGTTGTTATATTTCTCCCTATTGGTTTAGTAGTTCACCAATTATATTCTGGTACTACTAATATTTCTTCCGTACGAGGAAGGATTGGGTTACCAGGACCCTTCCGGAAGCTGAACATCGATCAGACCGTCTCTGTTACACTATTCCACGGAAGCCAGCTTATTCGTATTTGTAGTTCGTTCTAGATGCTCTCTCCATCATGTCCTGCAAGGCTTTTATCATTATTTGGTGCTGTGTTAGTGATTGCTTCATTGTATAAGTACACGATCTCGTAATGAAAGGCCAGAGACTGATCAAGGAGCCCGCGTGTCCTTCGTCCTTAATAACTTTCGAACCACTTAACGAACTTCCATTTAACTTGGTACGTTCAGTTTCCCATCAAGGGATTTTTTTTTATTTTTATGCCGGAGAAGATTTTTGGTGGTTTCTCTCCGTCTCTTTCGTTTTTCCTGTGTCGGTGTAATTTCACCTCTGCTCCATATTCACTCATGCATCACCTGGAGGAGGGGCAGACCCACGGAGACATGTGACGAAAGATCTTTGAAAATTGTGCGTGGTATTTCCTTAAGTAGGCCTGTGTATTTTGTTGAGCGTAAACAACTTGTGTCCTCAGTCAAAACAAAACTAACCACAGACAACTCAGATAGCTCCACTGCCTTTCAAGAATGCGATTGTGGGAAACGTTAAACATTCAGCTAGAAATGTTTCTGGCCCCAAATGAGTATCTATTTGTATTGATTAAGAATAATTATGAGGAAACGGTTTAAAAGTTGAACTGAGAGTAAGGGTAGTTCAGGGGTTGTTCAGAGGACGGTGAGACATCGGTGGGTTGAACAAGATCTCACTGCTGTAATTACACTTTGTGAACTATTGTTAAATGCTTAGAAACGCGTTCGAATTCAAAATGTTGCAGCACAGCGGTTGAGAAACTTCTGGGTGGTAGTGACAGGGAGTCTCCTTCATTTTACCTTGAGCTGCTGAAGCTGAACTTTGCGTTCACCCAGCAACAGTCGTGGGCTTCGGTCGGTTTCTCCTTTGATTGGCCGTTGAATTTATCGCCGAGCCTAATATAAATATTTCTGTAAAACATAGATTTGTAGCGTAATGAACCCACTTGCTGATGATGAATTGTATTCGGATGTAAATGTGGTCACCTGAGAAAATTACACATTGGGAAGTTCGGCAGCGAAAACTTTTTTCTCTTAACCTCCGCGTCCAGGCCGGCTACTGGGACTCGAAACTGACCCACTCATCGCCGATCAGTGCCGAAATCAAGACAGTCATTTTAACGACACTGCATCAAATGCTGTGATTATTTACCATCCAAATGAGATGTAGCAGGAAAATGTTGATGAAATAATAATTGGGAGGATTAATCTGCAGTGTATAATTTTAAAGTACTTTGTGGAATTTCCTGGAGCAAATACGCATTATGGAAACTAGTCTCCAACCAAGTTTCAACCATGTGCTCATCAAATGCGACACTGCCACTTTGCTAGCTCACTTTGTGTAGTGATTTTACTTACAATTTAAATCTAACCTTGAGCGTTCAGACATGAGAGCTGTGCCAAAATGGTTCCAAATTTGTAAAAGTATGCTTCTTTTGTTTTTCATGGATGTGATGCATTAGTAAGTTTATGTGGGATGTGTGGAGCCATCATTCAGACAAGTTGTTTGTATTCTGCTAACGCAGACAGTTGCTGGATATAACTGGTGCATTTTCATATTTGGTACAAGTCGAAGTGCATACTAATATCAGTGAGATGTGACTTTGTCCAGAGTGTGAGATAAGACTGGAAAAGTCCATAGTTTCCAAATGCTGTTTTGCATCACTCATTGGCCTTGATGTTTATTTATTGCAGATACAAATCTGTTAACAGAACTAATCAGCAACACAGATGCTGCACTTAGTAAAGGTATAAATTGTTTTTACTTGTGTGAGAAGCTGATTTAAGCCATTTTATTTATTTACTTGTAGTTTACACTAAATGTTAAATGTAAAAGAGTTTTTAAATAAGTTTGGCAGCCTTAAAATAGGTCTGTGTTTGTACAGACTGCTTGTGCATTCTGTGAACAAAGTGCGTAAATAAACACCTGGGGAGGTCTGTCTGCCCATGCATATATCTATGTTTCATCTCTGAAACTACCCTACAGATTTCTTTTGTTTACTTTTGGAGCATACCAATTAATTATAATGTATACTTTGCATGAAGCCCGTATTGAACATTATATCAAATATTTCTAAAATGTTCATGCAAAGAGTTGGTGTAAAATGGAATATTGATCTCATAAAGAAGTGAGACTTTTATTTGAAACCCTCTTCAAAATGGTGAAAATTTAATGAAATAGAGGAGAAAATTGTGTATGATCTCTGTAGAGTTCAATGTTGATTTTCTGTGTTCATTAATATAATGTATGACTTGAGTGGAGTATCTGTGCTGATTTTTCTCATGCATTTTATTAAATTTTCATCATATCAAAAAGAATTAAAAAATATATATTATAATGAGATGTGTGTCATCTCACGTACTGATTATTTGTAGGGTAAGTTCTTGAGAAATCTGGTGATAAAAGTTGTATATGAGCTTTATGTAATGCTAGGAATTGTACTGGATTGGTAGAATTAGAATTGAGTTAACTTGACATCAGTGTAAACTAAACTGTTTGAAGTGCATATAAAAACCAGCATGGGAGAGTGTATAATAATTATGATATTAAATCACCTTTGATCATTTTACGAATTATATGTTCTATAAGAAAAAAACTGTATATTCTGCATCAGATTTAACCTCGGTGACACAAGCATGTGATTTTAGTATTTGAAGTATCCTTCAGCATGTCAGGTTTTCAGAGTATGTGGGGCAACACCTGATAACTTATCTTATCTTCCTTTTCAGGAATAGTAGTGACAGATGCTACACTAGTTGGACCCTCAGCAACTCCGTCCATATAACCAGAAGAAATTACACTGTTGATGCTAACAACCCAAGACTGACTTCAGAATTCACAGATAAATAGCTATGGAAACAGATGTCAGTCAGGATATTGAAGATTACTGGAATGAATATAAAATTCTCCAAGAAACGAAATTATTGGATGTTTATTTGGATGAAGTTGAAGATTATGGGTCTCGAAGTTGTGATGGTAAGTTTCTAATTTAAATAAAGAAAATGGATATGTTTCAGATAATTTTCTTCATATAAACTTCCTTGTCAGAAATAAATTTACTAATACATGAGTTCCCTTTAGGGACTTTATCTTTTTATTCACTCTTCACTGATAAAATAAGAGGGTGCATGGAGGGAAGTATTAAATTTTACTTACTTCAAGGGTAAGTAAATATTTGTACTCAGTGAATCCATATAACCAGTTAAGTCATCCTACAAATGATCTTATTCATGGTCATATCAATAAACAAATAGACAAACAATGAAGTTAACTAATTACATCTGCAATTTGTTGCATACTGGTGGGGGAAATAAGGATCTTTTGCAGGGGATAAACTGACCAGAGTGTGTAGTCGGTCACTCATCTGCACCGAGTGTCAATGTTAATAATGCGTGGAGCTTTATGCCCATTGCCTCTTGGCATCATGCTTGCCTTATTTAGCTACTTCTACGAGGTAGTGCTATTATTTTCAGAGGGTGAGCAGGAAGTGGAATGGCTTCGACTGGCAGGCTTACCCCAGCTGACAGCCCCTTATGAGGAGGGACGTGAGCTGGCCGAGAGCGAGTTGGATCCTGAACTGCGTCTCCTGCCGGCTCACCATGCCGAGGCAGTGCGACGTCGAGTCAAGACACTCAACTTTACAGTGCGACAGAGGAGACGCCAGCAGCGCTCTCGGGCCCGCAAACCAGACATCAGGGATGTCTTCCGGGATGTAGAAGTATGTCTGCTACATTTTTATATGTTCTTTGAACATAGTGCATAACATGAAAGAACAATAGGAAGGAATTTATGCATAAATATGTTTTATTAAATTGTGTAATTAGTAAGTGATTGAAGCATTTTAAGGAAAATATCTGTAATAAGTTCTCGGAAGTTCTTATTACAGTTTAAAAAAATTTATGGTAGATCACAGACTCATATTCATGCAAATTGAGTGAATGCTGGTAGCTTTTGAAGCAGTAACAGGCTTGTATGATGTTGTTTTGTAGTGACAGAGTGAAGAATTGATTTAACAAGGACAACAAGCTGGAAGCCATAATTTTATTATTTAGCTGTTATATTAACTGTACCAACTGGTAACAATGCTAGTACAGTGTGGGTCTGCTTGTTGAATTGTAATGTCATTTTTAACCAGTACAGAATGTCAGTTGTGTAGTTGTTTAGTTGTTAGCACTTCTGTTCCATGTTCGTATGGTTCAAATCTTTCCTATGGACTGACTATACCGAGAGAGGTTTTTCCTAGTTTTACTCAGTCCCTTTACAGAAATGCTGAGCTATTACTTTCAAATGACCCATGACCATGTCTTCCACAGTTTTTTCCTTTTTACTGTACATAATCCTCTCATCTCCTATTTGCTTTGCCGTATGTGCCAAACACAACACAACCTCAGGCAATGGGGTTCATCTGTAGATCACATAACATCCATAATATTGGTAAACTACTAGTAAGTAACTATTTCTGAATTTAGGATCTTGTCAGATCTATTTCTGTTCTTTCATCTTTGTTCTGCAGGTTGTCTGAGAGAGTTCAAACCTCTGATATGGACCAAGTTAATGAATTATATGTTTCATGTTTATGTGTTTTAGAAGATTGATTTTGTTTCTAGAATTCAAGTACTGGCACAAGATCCCGCAGTGCTACACCAGATTCTCTAGACTTGGATCATACAGGTTCTGAAGATGTGGGACCTCCTAGTCCTCCCTTACCATGGCACATCCCCAGAAGTACAAATATTTTTAACCCAGGGGCTGGACCACAGGTATGGGGAGACAGTGCTGGCTCTCCAACTACAAGCTAGTGAGTAAATTATTTATTCTTTAAATTCTTAGCAGGAAAGTAAATAAAAGCTGAATAATTTATGCTAAATGTGACAAACCAACATTTACACAAATTGAGTTGATATTTACCCTCAACATTTTCATTCCACTTCTGTGTTATCCGATATTTTTGATTATCTGACTCCTTTGCTCCTGTTTAGGTCAGATAATCGGGACTACTGTATATCTGTAACAAATGGATTTCTTGACAGTTACATCAGTTGGAAACACAACTTTTGTTGTATTCTACTGAAGTGCCAATTAAAGGGTTAACAAACAATGATTCTATCCTTTTCACAATTGGAAGCTTTTGTGAACTCTGGTGTGAGACTGAGGTAGACAGTAAAGAGCCCCAGTATAGTCTGTAATCACAAATTGAATTGTTTGTGCCAGTATAACTCCCCCCCTCCCTTCTACATTTAACCTTCCAGAATTTCAGTGCTCATTATCATTATATTCCGTGACAGTTTAAATTTAACCAAGTACAGTAATTATAAATGTTTAAGTTCTGATATGCTCTACCATGTAGTCTGGCAGAAGTTGACTGATGTTTCAGAGGTTCTTACCACCTCCTTCATTGGGGTGATTACAGCACAACATCCCACAAGACAGCCATCTTTGTACATGTTACAATGGGAACCTGAATCTAACCAAGTATGGTATATGTTTAAATACCTTTCTGTCTCCTTTTGTACCCACAGCATTCCTTCATCTAGTCCAAGAAGCCACACAGTTTTACTGGAGAGAGATCAGTTGTATAGCAGCTATGCCAAAGATCAAGTACGCAGACAGCCTAGTGGGTCAGCCAGTGCCTCAGAACTGTTTCGTCGTGTTGGTAACTGGGCTGGTGGAGGCAGCCGAGGTGATGTTGCCTGTGACACTGGTAAGCTGTCTTAATTACACATCTATGCATTTATGTGTTGTGCTGTCGGAACTACGTATTGAGTTTCTGTATACAGATTGAAACTGCATATGGTAAATTTCTACTTCTGAAATATAAAATTTGCTTTTATAGACTCTTCACAGCTTAGGGATGAAAAAATTCAGCCCATGAAAAGATTCAGTCCAGTCTACCTTGTTGTTCAGATATTATTTTTAATATGGCCTTATATACTACGTTTTATTAGAAATATAAGATCTGGCTGTCTTAGTGCACATGAAAGTTAAGTGATTCCACTCTAGATTTAAGTTGATTGTTCACATTTCTGATGAAGACATACACAGGTTGATACCAATTTCAGGGAATAAGGAGTAGGTTTTACCTGAAGACAGAGTCAAATTTCAGGCTCCAAAACATGTTTTAATAAAAAAATCAAGATGATGAATATTGTCCAGAACATTTGTTATTTTAACTATACACCTTCATCACAAACCTTCAGATTTGATTCCTCCTCCTCCTCTCCCCCTTCCCCCCAGTAATATATTTAGTTGAGTATGAATTTGTAACACTGAAATTATGGTGAATTTTGTTTATTTAATGTACAAAACCTGATAGGAGTTGGTTCTCACCACTAGACCTAGTTATTAGCATATGTGTTTAGTATTCATGAGGTTGTGAGTTTGTTCATTCCTGACAGCTGCACTAATTTTGAAAATAAAAATTCATAAAAATTATTTGTCATTGTAATGACAGCTAGTCACTGAAGACTTGAGAAGAATCATCTTTTGAAATGTCAAGTGTGGATGATGTCCATTGTAATTGGATTGTAATGACTTGACCATTGTTACAAACCACTAGGGAATCAGAAATTGTTAATACATTACGTGCTTCAATTTGTAGTGTCACAAACTTAAATCACTGTATGCAAAGTTGATGTTTCCTGGCAGAAGGTATTCAAATGGTGGGATATCAGCGTATTGGTACCATTCACTTACCTCGACCACGAGAAAGGATACGTGCTGGTAGTGACCCCACTTCACCCACATTTACCTCCAGTGGTGTTCCCTCTTCTAAGATGGCTGCAGTGGCCCTTATCAGTAACAGTGCTGCCAAGATGACAGATAGGAATAACAAGTTCCTCAAGTGAGTTTGTAGTTAATTTTATAATAATAATAGTCAGAGATGTGTTTGGCCAATTTCGAGTGTTAGTAATTGACACATGCATCCCACTGAGTCACCAGGCGCTGGTTGCCTGTCTTGTAGAATTCTGTAATATGCTGGCACAAAACATTCACACACTGGTACAACTGGAATCCATGTTTGGTGAATACCTTCTTTAGAGGCCTGAAGATGCATAAAATGATGACTGATGAACATTAATTCTTACCTTGTTGATAGATGTTTGTGCTTTTAATTGTTTTATTTTGGAGGACTGAGGATGTTTACATTTTTTTGACTCTGGTTTATAGGGACAAGCTAAAGTATCATCATTAAATCCACAGTGGGTATGTTTCTATTGGCAGTTGGACAAGTACTAATTAAACCACAGCTGGATGAAGTCTTTCTTTGCTAACAGTGACCTTCATTCCATTGACAGGGATCATCATGTTTCAATTTCACGTAGTCACAGTAGTTTGTATAGCCCTGACAATGAGACTGATGCGATAAATCATCAGAGAGCAGCAGCGCGGGCTGTTCTGCATCGTTCTGGTTCTCAGGGGCATCTTGGGTTTGAAGAGGTTTCGCAGAGACTATTATTTCCCAGTCATGAAAACATCACCAACATCCGAGTCGAGGTATTTATTGCATTATGATGTTTTATATAAATATGTTAGGCTTTTATGTGTATGAGTTTCTGTTGTTCAGACAGTAAAGTCGCTCTTCTCCAAGGTTAAATGAGGGGGGGTGATAAAATTTCAGGTTTTCATGATGAAATAAGATTATGCAAAATTTGTAGGAGAAATTTATAAATAAATAGAAAAACAAAGTTCACCATACTAAGTGATTGTAAAGAATTAGCATGGCTGGGGCGTGATGCTGAGCGCTAACCCCCATCCAGTGCTGAGGTCAAGATTGAGTAGGAGCTATATTGCCTTTTCCCTCAAGCATCTTCATGGTGTATAGTGGGTCGGATAATTTCTTTTTCTTTTTCTACAGTCTGGAGTGTCTATCTATTCAGATCCTAGTCTAGTTGGAAGAACTTGGATAGAGTTTATGGGAGACGGTGATCTTCCAAAGCTGCAGCCACTGTTGCTTCTTGAGGCAACAGCTTTGTTAGATAATAATGACATTCCATTCAGGAAGCGTAAGCCACCAAGAAGGAATCGAAAAGTAGGCAAGTATCTTATTTATATTTTTCCAAATGTATCTTATGTATGGTTAGCCCAAGTTCTGTTTACTGACAGGAGAAAAGGGAAGCTTAGATGTTGTGTTGATTGCCTACTTAACAAGTACATCTGTACTGATAAGAAATTCATGTTACTGTGGATGAAGAAACAAATGTATTTAGCCTCTTCACTGATGTCGATGTGAGTACATGATGCTTGAATATAAATAATATACAGTCTTATAAACATTATCATTCCATCATCTGATGTTATTCATCAGAGAAAACTGCTTCCTGTGTTGCAGCACAGTGTTGTATTGTGTTTTACATGTAAACACAGTACAGTAGCCAGTTTGTCATTTATTTTGTGTAAATATGTTGTCCTGGTGCATGGGCACAAAACAAGAGTTTTTCACACATGATAACTTATGCCATAGAACATGGAAACAGTTTCATGTGTCACTGCTGTTCTGATGTGCTCCATTGACAGTGTGTTTCATAAGTACTAATGAATTTGAGGTGTATAACATAAAATATCTCTTCTTTAAAATGTTGTGGTATAGAAAATATGATGTTCATAGTTATAATCTCTTGGTATTTCTCTTCATATATTTATTATTACTGAACTTTTATTGATCGTGTTACTCTTGTTTATAAGTTCCATGTTGCTGAACTTACAGATTCTACATTTTAAATGTTATGTTTTTTTCTTGTAGTAGGAAATGTGTTTGGTGTTTCACTGGCAGTGCTGTTAGAACGGGACCAACTGATGGGTGCAGAGAACTGTGAAGGTGTTCCTCTAATCTTCCAGAAGGTACATCTTAAATGGAATTCTGTGTACCACTATTTATTAAGATACAAGCAACACAAAATACTGGTATCCAAATGCAGTACCTGTGACTCTCGTTTGTCACACTGACTGATGTATTTGTCTAGCCAACTAAGAGCTCACTGTATTATAAATGTTTTATCAGAAAGATTGTTAATAAAATATCCCATAACCCTTTACACTTTATTGCTATATCAAAGATGAATTTGTTAGGTACTGCTTCATTTGGAGAGATATGGGCTACAGGAAGAAGGTATTCTGCGTGTCGCAGGACTTCAGCAGAAGGTGGCAACACTGTGTGCAGAACTGGAGGCAGTATTCTATAGGAGGCCACTAGAGGAAGTAGACAGGCTTCTTCAGCAAGCAACTTGCCATGATGTATCTTCTGTTCTGAAGCGCTTACTACGGGATCTGCCCCAGCCACTTTTATCTATCGAGTACATTGACATGTTCTACCAAACCCATGGTAAGTATCTTCTTGTCCAGAAGTTATTCTACTACCTCACATGTATCAAGGGTAAATAATATTTGGAGGGTTGGTATTTGCGGTTCAGTCCCTCCCCCCCACCCCACCCCATTTCTTGTTCTTTAAAACATTTTGAATAATATGAGGAGAAGTGCTTGTTCTGGAAAGAAATTTTATATGAAAAAAAGATTTTGTGATGACAAGACCAGGATACTATTCCAGCATAGCCTGGAGGGACTGGGAAAAATCAAGAAACCCATCACAATGTCTGATGGCCAAATATGAGAGAGAGGTGCTTACCACTCATCTGTAATATTTACCTGTTGTGTTGATTGTTTAGAAGTAATGTTGGATGTTAAATGACATTGCAGCTCTGTCAGATGACACAACTCGAGCACATGCACTCAACCTATTAGTTCTTCTGTTGCCTCCGGAGTATCGTAGCACTCTTCGTGCTGTCTTTGGATTCCTTGCACGAGTAGTCCTGAACCAGAAGAAAAACAAGATGTCTCTCCATAATGTTGCAATGATCATAGCACCATCACTGTTCAGCCCTCAGTAAGTACAGAATATCGATCAGCTTCGTGTAGCAGCAGTGCTCTAGACTTACATTCAGGAGGCACTCGGCCAGTTACTAGCTCCAAAGGCTGATTAGTGGAACATTCAGGATGAAAGCAAGCATTTTACAACTATGATTACTGTACTATATATTACTGATTCTCAAGTGCAGCTACTTTATTAATAATACAGAAGGTCAGGTATTAGGAATAAAATGTTAAAGGTAAATTAGTATGTGATGCTTATTAAGTGTAACCCCATAAAGAAGTATGGGGGGACTGTAGGTATGGCTCAGCTCATTTTTGACCTTTGTCAAGTTGGTCTGTCTTCTTTGCCCCTAGTACCAATTAGATAAGAGGCTGGTCATGCTCCAGAGCAGTCTGGATGCAGTAGCTTTGAGAAAACCCTCTTGCCCCTACTGGGAATTGAAGCATCCAGCCTGTAGCCTAGTCACTATATTGACTGAGCTGCCTGGCTTCATTCCAGCCTAGATATTAATTTTTTTGTTACCATACATTTTTTATGTGTTTAATTGCTGTATCTACTTATATTTTGGTATATCCACATAGAAATGTTGTTAAAAAAAATTATTTGCTTGTGATAATATTACTGACATTACCATTTCAAATTTTTAACATACAAAAAATGGTTCATAGGAAATGTGTGGTTGTACTTATGAGCTGTCTACATGTTAAATAGTTGCATTTAGACAATTTTCTGTCAAGAGGGAAATTTAATCTCTTGGATATGTTTGTTGTTGCAGATATGTCCATCCTGCTGATAAGGGGGACTTGAAAGCACAGGTTGAAGTGGCAGAAATCTGCTGTCGGTTAACAGAGCAGATGTTGGAGCTTGGAGAAGGGCTGTGGGTTGTTCCCGAGTCTCTTGTGAGACAGATACGTCGTTCTAATGAGGAAGAGCACTACAGGAGGTATTAATGCCTTGCAATTTACTAACCTTATACAGTCATATGCTCTGTGAAAATGTGTTGTTTTTATAAATGAATTTTTAATTGTATGCTCACATGCATTTATAAAATTTTCAGTCAAATTGCCAGCAGTTCATAAAGCTTATAGTAAAACTGGTAAGGCACTTAATACATAGAAGGAAGTACATAAGTACTCAGTAGTAGATTCTATGAACTACTAGCTATGTTTCCTTCAGAATCCTAATTTCACTAGTTTTGTGGTACTGATCTGAGACATTCCTGTGTCCAGAATGTGTTTTCTTTCCATAGGTATTATGCTTTCTTGACCCATTTGATGTACAAAACCGAAATATAGTAGACTCTTGATTATCCAGAGGCAGATTAACCAGATTTTGTCTGGTATAAATGAAAATTAACGATTAATTTATAAAATCTGTTGTATAACTTAGAATGTTTGGAAAGAAAGGAATAAACACAACAATGACATATTATTTAAGGTATTAACACAAATCAGTTATTGCTAAAACTTGATGTTTATTACAATATAATGTTATTACTATTCATTTAAAAAAATTGTGATGTATACTGTATTAAATTTTAAATAAAATCCTTTCTGTTATTAGTGAATGTTAAAAATTTTAAGTAGTGCATGTCTGTAAATAAACTTACATATTTTGTTGATGTTTTTATGTTATTTTTTCATTTTTTAGTTTATCTGGTGTTTTGGTTATTTGGGAAAGTATATTTCCTAACCAAATTGGATAATCAGGATTCTGCTGTATCACAGATAGACTAAATGTTGTTAGTAAGAATCGTGATCTTCCTGTGTTAGTCCCGTTTCTCCCGTGATATAATTCCTTGCTTTTATACACAGTATCTGTCATTTCAACCACCTTCCATCACTGAAATTTTTATAGCCAGTATCTATCTAGTCTCCTCACTTTACATTTTTCAGTCAGTATACACAACAACAACAACCTGTCTTTTCACAAATCCATATTAATGCATCATGAATCTTTTCTTAACTTTATTGTTTCCTTTATGTGTAGAGGTACAAAGGAGAACAGCAAACCCATGAAACGACTACTGGGGAGAAGAACTGGTGCTCGCGAGCCTATTACTCGTAAGATCAATAATGAAGTTGATTTTCAAGATGGCATTGTACGAGTGAATGCCCCACAGTTTCAGTTATTTGATATCCCAGTACGTTTAATGGAAAATATTACAGCAGGAGATGTTGTTTTAAGGCAAGTTCTTTTCATATGTTGCACTTGACTGTTATCAAACTGAGCAGGCCGGTGTAAATGTAACATCATATATAATAACAGAAAATTTCTTGATCAATTGAAGAACTGTAATTTTTATAACACAGAGTCTGTAACATAAAGTTGGGACATTTTATCATATGTTGATATATTCATTTATTTGTCCAGTATATTAACTTACATTGACTCTGAATTCAAAAATGTTTACATTTGAAGTTAAAAATATACTATGACTAATTGATTACAGATATACATTTCATATGAGATGCAGATAATTGTGGCAGTAAAAGAAAGTTATTGTCACTATGGTCATATAGCACAGTACTAGAATACATTCAGAATGAAACAGAACAAGCAAGAAGAAACAAATGTGTACCCTGTGACTCCTATTGGGACTGGAATTCCATTATTGATAAGTGTTGTTAATTTTGTTCTAGAATTATGGAAGAGGCCAGTAAGATCTGTGAGATGCCTGCATCTGTAGGATTGAAAGTGTCACAGCGTCCACATTATGACATGAAGTCGCGTGCATTGGCTGAGCTTGCTCCCAATGGTAACCTCAGTTGCATTCTTTCTACAAGCTGCCCAGAAGTGTCCTTGCAGACACATTATCTGTATGAGGTTGGTGGAAATATTGGTAAGTTAGAACATTGTACTTTGTTATGAAACTTATTGTTCTTTAAGCATGATAGCTACCGCCCCCCCCCCCAAAAAAAAAAAAAAAACCCATCATTTTCCAGTGTCTCATTGTAAGTGGAGTCCATTTCATAGGTACCCACACCTCAGAAGTGGTTTCCATCATCTCCAAAGAATGCAAAAGGTAGACAAATTAAATAGACCATAAATCATGAGGGTTGTGTATGGATGGGAGGATAACATTAAAATGGATCTTGTCAATATTGACTGTGAAGTAGATTGAAGTAATTTCTGTTTTGTGCCAGTAGTAGGTTTTTGTGAAGACAGTGGTAAATCACACATTACATGTGATTTGAGGTTCTCACAGCATTGAAGATGATGATGATAATAATCTAGGTTGTAACACCATGTGGACTTGTATATAGAATTTCAGAAATGGTCTGCATGTCTTTCTTCATTATACTATTATGTAATTAGATGTTTGTCAGTTAACATATCATGATCATTCTGTTGCAGGGCAGCGTCAAATTGAGCACAACGCCATCTTGTTGGCTGTTTACAAAGAGAATCCAAATGCCCAGTGGGTGCTTCGTTGTCACCATCGTAATTCTAACAATGCGCCTGCTGCTTCATGATAGCGGGTTTCTGTCCAGAATAAAATTATTGTGTTGTACAAATGCCAAACCTACAGGCCATAATCTTAAAACAAGGAAAAGTATATTGTGTGTTCATAAAATGTGAACAATAAATATTAAAATGTTGTAATTCCAAATTCATTAACTTTGTAAGTATAAGCTAGACTTTTTGCATGTATTTTATAATCTGTATTACCAGTCATAGAAGTCAACTTTCTTGTATAATAAGAACCCAGTTAATATTAGTGATTAAACAATTGTTAATAAGTTTTCTAATCTAATTTTTTGTCAGCGTATTATTAGGTTGAACTGTTAATGGATGGAGAAAATACTCATCAGCACAACAGAATTGTGTAATTACATCAAATATTATAATAAACACTTTTATTGTTGTAAAATGTAATAGATTGTGTCAGTTAAACAGAGAGAGGGAGACATGCTTACCTAGCTTACTTGTCATTTATCTTGCATTAAGTTGGTTCATTCACATCTGAGGTCAACAAATCAGATATTTACCAGTAATTTTGACAATATATTTATCAATGTTAACAACAATGACAGTCTCTCCATTTTAAAACTTTTCTTCTTTTCCTGATGGACTTGTAAGGGAAACATGCTCAGTCATCAGACCATATTTCATTTCCAGCAACAAGAGCCAGGAATTGACATTCTATAGCATGAGCGTCATTTTGTTGGGTGCAAGTAGATTTTAGATAGCACTCCTAACTATTGAATGACAGAAATGCAGTACAGCAACCATCAGTGCAGTGTTAGTTGTAGGTTCAGTTGGTCTTGAATTGTGAGATAAAACAGCATAAAGATTTCTTTTCTTAATTAGAAATACTGTAAGATATTCAGGAAAGTATATTATTATAAAATGTTGGTTTCATTTTGCCTGCTACTATTTGAAACTTTATTGATATTATAGAAACTGAGAGAGTTATGCTCAAGATGAGCATGGAAACAAGTAAGTTCTCCTGTATGGCAGGTGTTTTCAACCTGCAGCCTGAAAATCTGTTTCATCATCTGGCCTATATACATATTTTGTAAGTGCTGTGTTTTTCTATATGCTGAAAACCATCTTGCTAATGACTGATGTTAAAAAGGAATTTACAGAGTAATATGCTAATCAGTTTGAAACAATAGCCCTACTTCAGTGATGTTTTTTCTTAGATTCCAATGGTGTTTTAATAGATTGTCAGAACATGCTCTTGCTACCTGCTAGTCAGTAAAGTAAATATGTACCTAGAAAGGATTGAGGACCCCAAATGTAAAGTGACTTATTGATGACCGATTTTAATCAAAATTTGAATGCGTAGACAAAGTTTGGTGAAAAGTCCCCGTATAAAATTTCATGTTGAACCATTTAGTGGTTGAGTCATTACACATAGAGATAGATAAAAAGACATTTTAAAATTAAAATGCGCATTTTTGTAACCTTTCATTTCTAAGTATACAGAAATTGTATATTATCTGGAGAACAACATTGGGTCTATTAAGGTGGCGTGAAAATCATACGTTCTCACAAGGTAAACGCTGAATGCGTTTCGTCGCTTCTTTAAAGTTCAAACAAACGCCGTAAGAGTGCAGTAAATGTTGAAGCCGTTTTGTTCTGTTTGACCACCTATCTAATTTCATTACAATCGTTGATGATTGCTACGTCAGTCGTATTCGGATGCGGAGGTAGTGAGTGCTTCGTGCTCTGATTTTGATTTTTATTCGTTTATCACCTTGTTCAAACATGAGTTCCATTCCCACAGGTAATTTCGACTAGTCATTAAGTCTTATTCGTAATCATTACTATATAGAAGTTTATTTAAGATGTAAGTTTTCTATGCCGAACTCTGAGCTGCATAGTACGCGTGAAAATATGTTCATTCTGTCAAATTTCTGGGAAGTTAATGACCATCATCGGTTCTAGATGTGTTACATTTTTGGATTAACAGGTTAGAATATTGTAAACGTCAGACCTGTCCCAGATGTGACATCCTACTTATACCGTTTTTGCAAAGTTGGTTTTTATAGTCGTAATAGATGAAATGTATTTCTGGTTTCTCATGTCAGTCCTTGGCCATTTTCCTAGAATTATGAAGTCAGATTGTACTAAAAAAAGAGGTTGAAAGTGTACTTACAGTTCAATTGTACATTAATTAATGAGCTGGGAATATTATTTGTGGTTTAATTATGGGGAAGTTAGTACTTCATAATTAGGCTATCCAGTAATTTATCCATGAACCGCGTACTGTTTAGCAACAGTTGTGATATGCATTGCAAGTTATTCATTCACATGAGCAGATACTTTATTGTCCGGTTACATCTGGGTTTGATTCTTATGTTCACTCACCATGGTATGAAATTTGTTTTACAAATAAAGTATGATATAAATAGTATCTGTTTATACATCTTTTTTTACATAGTTATTACAGCTGTTGCTTAGCAGGATGCCCTCAGTAAAGATTGTTTTACAAAGGCACTCCATCAATGGTTCTGCTAAATCCAATAACATGACGTTCAAATACAACAAATCTTTACCAGGAAATTGGACAGTACTGTAAGACCAGTCTACAGCATATAAATTGGTGATACTTAAATTTTTATTAATTTGGTAGACAACGTGGAGAGCAGTTTGAAGTTGTTCCCAGTGCTTTTGCTCATAATAGATACATGGCTGTGGTTTGTTTTTACATGATTTGTAGGTAATGTCTTTGCCTTTGAGTGTGTGATGAAATTATTACTGTTATGTTCATATTGTTAATTTAGACTGGTTTTGCTTTCACATTTTTCTGTATTGGCTTGCTATTTGACTATGAATGCAATAATTTAAGATAAAAAAGGGAGCATCCTTGTTCCAGTATGTTAGAGTTTTGACACCAGTTTTGTTTATATTTTCATGCACATAAATCACACAGTATTGCTTGAAATGTGTTGGTTCACTTAAATAATTCAAGGTTGATGTTACCATGATTAATATTATGATACCTCCTACTCAAATTGGGGTGTTGTAAAACATGGAGTGCCCAAGGTTCAATATTTGTTCCTCTGCTTTTTCTTGTATATATCAATGATCTGCCCCCTACCATCAACTGTCGATCTAAACCTATACTCTTTACTGATGATACTAATATTATTTCACATCCAGAAATTGACTGTTTTCAAAATTGTATAAATGATGCCTTTGCTAGAGTGAACAAATGGATTAAAGCGAATAAACTCACATTAAATTTTGACAAATTTCATGAAATTTTGTACTAACAACAGAACTTGTGTAAATCTAAATATAGGGTACGATGATAAAATAATTGAGGAAATAGAAACAACTAAATTTCTTGGCCTACAAATTGACAACAAATTAATCTGGAAAATACATATTCAATACATTATCCCGAAACTAAGCTAGGCATGTTTTGCTATGAGAACAGTTGCAGCACTCATGAAAACAGAAACTTTAAAATTAGTTTATTTTGCTTACTTCCATTCCATCATGTCATATGGAATCATTTTTTGTGGAAATTCAACGGACACCAAAAAAGTACTTTACATTCAAAAGAGTATCATTACAATAATGGTAGGCACTAAAAGGAAGCCTCTTGTATGGAATTATTTAAGAAGTTTAATATTCTTCCAATACCCAGTGTATTCTTGCTCTCACTGTTATCATTTGTAGTGGATAACATGGAAAAATCTCAAACAAATACAGATATCCACAATATAAGAACAAGATACAGATACAACCTTCATGTGCAAATATTGTATTTGTGCTATGACCTGTTCTGCATCCTTGGCTTAGGCCTATGAATGATCTGTGGAATGTAAATAGATTCTGTTCTATTCTACACTATTCTGAGCAAACTGGATGTTGAACCCAGAGCATTATACTGTGTTCTTAGCTTTCTTTTCAGTTTGTGATTGTACTGCTGTGGCATCTCAGAATTGCATTGTCTTTCACTTGCAGTGTTTCATCTTTTGTGGGAGACTAATTACATGTTTGTGACTTCTTTATGGCTTGTTATGTTTTATATTCATAATAGGCAAATTAGCATTACTTTACTTCTAGTAACATGCATATTTATAACACTTTCATGACCAGTAACTTCATCTGTTTTGACCCAGTTGTGTAATTTAGCAACATGCATCTTTTGTTATTCTCATGTATGTTTTCTTATACTTTTTATCATATTATATTTCTCCAACAAGTAATTTCTAATTTTTGTGATGGATTAGTTGGGTATAATTTAATTTTGATTTCTTCTCATTATGTTTGTCTAATAAGCATAAATTAAACATGAAATTAGTGATGTGTACTGTGATGGACTACACCTGTGTGTGTGCCAGGTGTTTCTAGTACATGGTTGCCCCTTCCTTCTGAAAGTCTTTTGCTTTGGCCCTTTATAACTATATGTTTTTTGAGGTCAGATCAGTCTGCCCTTTACAATTGGATTATTTTGTAAAATATTTCCTTCTGCACCAAGGAAGTAAAAGGAAAACACAGTTTGCTTGTCTGATTTAAATGTTCACACAGATCACTGGCCTTTACTGGGAAGCTTATGAGTTTTTTAAAAAAGATTAAAGAAATCACAGGATATTTGGCTTAGAAACTACCTGCCTGAACTTCTCATTAAAGTACAGGAACACCACAAGTGCATTTGTGTGCTTTATTTTAGCTGTGCATTTTGCCAGAACAAGACGTTTTATTACCTTTGCTTAGGGGCTACCAGCCAGCTTCTTTCACTACTTTCTCCACTGGGAAATCTTTGCTTGTAAACATTTTTTAGAAGCATACTCTTTGAAAAATATAGCTGTTGCACAGTGTTTTTGCAGGCCTATTTTAAAAAACGTTTGCTGCCTTTATGCTGAGTAAATGTAATCACTTAGTTCAGTCAGAAAGCTGGTGTCTTTCAGTTCTTTTATTTGACTCCAGAACCCAATGGATTTGAAAAATGCTGAAACTCCTCAGAAAGCCAAACATGAGTGCAAATGTGTATTGTTTCACAGTACACTGTCCCCATACCTGTACATAATCTTCATTTATTGCAGATAGGAATATTTTGTTAACGGAGCAAATGAACAATAGATATATTACACTGCAGTGTTTTGGCTCCATTGAGCCATCATCAGTGGTTGTGTATTTACGTAATTTTGTTCAAACATAGATGATAGAAGAAAACATTTTCATCATTCAGTGATAGACCCTTACATCACTTTTAAAAGACTGAATTACTTTGACATTGAGGTTAAATGTTTAAGTTGAAAATGTAAAAAATGTAAACACCCCCATATTTATCACACCTATTTGCCGTCACCGTATATCATGGGAAATTGTTGCAGCATTTTGCGTCCATTGCAGGTGTATTGGATAGTGTTAATCATTACTTTTGTTCGTAATTGAATCGGGACAGACAGACACAAACAGCTTGTTAATAATGAAGGATCTATGGAGTGTGAATGAATTGTATCCTGTTCTAATACGGCCCTGAAGAAAGGCTTACAATTTCTTTTAGCAATTCTTACAATTATACGTTTTACATAGTCATTTCTGGGATCCGTTCCTCCGCGACTTCAAAACACAGTTTTTCTTGCCGTCATATCTTGTGCTTTGCACAGCCGATTACCATTTTAATCATGAAACAAAAACCTATTTGGTCATTGGGGAGAATCTAGTGCGGTGAAATTCTTGTGACGGCGACGTCTAAACAAAACAGGCAATGCCATGAAGGATAAACGAAAGGGACAGAAATGCCATTCTATACTGCCGAAGCTGCTGTGTTTAGATGGTGGCATACTTTTCTGAATCGTTTGGAGAAAGGAAGATATACTTTCAACATCGAATCAGTATGCATGTGTGTCTGTGTATCCGTATTAACTTCTTAACTAACTGACTGACTTTCGTGAAATATACTCCAGTGAATAATGTTTCGAACTGTTGTGGTACAGCACTCTTGAGACGCCTTGGTCTTGTGTTTACATTTGATACAGTGTGATTCTGTTAAATATTGTATTTGTTTTGGAGATGATAATTGTTCAGTTGTTGTTTTTATTATTAGAGAGAGAACTTTTATTTCGATTTATGACCTAGTGATTATAATGCCCAGATTTCGTAATTGTGCGTTCAGTGTCTGAAGGATCCAGAAGCTGAAGTTGGTTCTTGATTAGACAAGATAGTACATTACGGGTCGGAAGGAGAAACTGAAAGCGATGAAAAGTATAATATAAATGAGAATTCGCTTACATTGTGACATATGGTCAGTTGCTGGCTGGCCAGTGTGCTGGACGTGTCTGTTGGTTGTGGTTTGTGGCTAGATAGAGACAACGTGGCATAGCATACCATTGTCTTGAGGTTTGTGGGTGCGATTTTCACAACTGACAAAAGAACTCTTTCATATTCTATTTCCGCTGCATGATTTTCATGAGAAATTCAGTTTTAGAGCATAAAAGTTTGATATATATTTTTGGAAGTGCAGTAGGTGTGTAGAAAAAGTGCTAATGAAGACAGCGATTGCATTTCACAGCTGGCAAAGGAACAATTTTTGTGTTATGTGGCGAATTTTACAATCTATAAAAATCTTGAACATATTTTGTTTTGCAGTATAATTAGTGTTATACCAGGTGGCAAACAATGGAAACAGCGAGTTTTTATTGACTACGGATAAAAGAAATATTTTGTTGTATTTCCAAGTGGTGACGTTAGAGAAATCATTGGTGTTAGTGTGCTTTTGTCTGTTACATCCAACATTGTATCAAAGTGTGATATTGTACAAAGATAAATGAATAAGGTAGTAAGGTAGTGTAGAACGTATATTTATAATGCAGTGACCAGTTATGCGTCTTTTATCTGCACGTTTGGACATTACCGATTTCGGTAAGTTAATTTAGGTTGTGCAGTGTTGGGCCTGATGTGCATAAATAAAACATGAGTTGTGGGAAAAGCTTTGCCGTAGATGATACGTAGGTGCGTACTAAACAGACTTACGTGTATGTCACTGCAGTTCCAAATTCTGATTAGTAAAAAAATATATAATTCCAGTTGAAATTTACTGCAATTCGTTGTCAGCAGAAATCATAAATGGATTCACTGTTGCAAAACGTTACTGTTTTAAAATATCAGCATGAAGACTTTGGTGAATTAACATATGTTGAAACTGTGTGATATGGTTAAGTTGTTTTGAAGGGAATAGTTTATTAGTGCACTTATGGAAAATATAAGTGAAGAGGCTGTAGCAACTAATGACTTAGTTAGAAATAATTGTGTGAAAAGAACATATGTGCCTGATCTAAAGGATGAAGACATAGAAGAAGACCATGAATCTTTAGAGTATGAAGAGGACTGCTATTATTCTTATGTAGCAGAATCAGGGGCACCCAGTTTTGGTCATTGTTGGCCTGAAGATGAAAATTTTGTTGAAAATTTACCCCTATCTCGTCTAGATGATTCATTGGCACCAGAAATAGACCCCTTTTGTGTTGAAGCTGAATTTTATTCTAAACCTGCCAGCAAAAAATCAAGAAGTGTGAGAGTGACATTTCAAGACCTTTCAAAACCATACTTGGCAAAAGTCAGCAGTCCTCACAACTACAGACGTTTCTTGCAGTTAGTGAAAGGTAAAACAGCATATGAGTCTACTGTTTACCAGTTTATTGTGTAATTATCACTGTTTCTTGGTTTGCTTAAACTTCTAAACAGTATGGAGAAATATGCATGTATTGTACAAAATATAAAATAAAAGTGTCAGTACAGTGTAGTTAAGCTTCTGCTTCAATTACAGTGCACATGTATGTTTGGTAAGTTTTGTGTGGTTACCATAGCATCAGGGTTTTGTGTAAATCAGTTTTTCTGTGCATTATAAACTAAACTAAACTAAATGAAGAGTAGTTTACAATGACTGATTAGTGTTTTGTTTTCATATATTGTTACTGTTATCTTAGTATTGGTAATATGTTATAATAATTATGACAGCAACACCATTAATATGTATTCCAAGTTGATTTATATCTCTATAACGCTGACAGGACAGAATCCCAGCCACCTCATTTGATTTTGTATATTAGTAGTCAGTATGGTTTATGATACAACTGAATGAACAAATTAAATATTTCTGTTGCTTAAATTCAGGATATGACGTATTATTGTTACAGCTGAGGAGGCAGCAACTGACATGTCCCCAGATTCTGGTATCAATGAACTACATGGATTGACCCCAGAGGAGCAGGAGCGCCAATGTCAGGAATGGCAGCAGGAACTTGTAAAGGTATATAATTTAATTAGAAGTGGTAGTAGTAGTAATAATATACTATGTAATACTTTGACTTAAACATCCTTAATGTCACTAGTTTCAATTCCTACCCCATTCCCTTTGAAATGAAATGTAGCAGCACTTGATGAATGACAAAGTTTGATTTGTTTGTGTGTTTCCCCTGCCCTGGTAGAACTAGAACAAATGCTTAGCAATGCTTATAGGTTGAAGAGGAAATCCAAACACTCCGCCAAGTTCTTGCATCCAAAGTGAGGGTGTCTCAAGAACTGAAGCGGAAGCTAGGCATTAGTGTTTGGAAGGAATTTCAAGATGACATGTCGCAGGGTATTCGCAACGTCAAGGAGTCCAACGTGTAAGTACTAATTAATAGTTTTATGTAATAGGTCTGCTTACTATAAAATATACTTAATATCATTTTTGTTGCTTTTGTGTCCATTTCTTCTATATATATATATATATATATGTAGAGTCCTAATTCGTTTTATTAATTCTTTGATGGCGTTAGTCAGTTTTGTTTATTTTAAGTGTATAGTATTTCACACATTTACTCCTGTCTTTTTAGAAGCCCATTTAAAGCAGTAAATCATCTGGCCTTTTTTCATCTTTGAAACTGCTAAGAAGATTTCATGTGAATTCAGTGTGAAGAGTCTATACTAAGTTCTTGGGTAAATTCTCTTTTTGTCAGTAACGTTGATCCAGTATAATGCCTGCTTTACAGAAAACTTCAATTGAATATATTTTCACAAAAATGGATCATCATACAGAAAACTTGTGCATGGTATAAAAAATATATCTTAATGAAATCTACAACTTTAATTTTAAATGTGTTTAGCTGCATTGTATACTTAATTATGTTTAACACATGAAGAATTATTTTCATGACAGTGTGAGTATAGTGTTACATGTGGCATAAGCTTTGCAACAGTAGATTTATATTATAATAAATTGATATGAAGACCAGTTAAGTGTATCAGTTGAAATACAACTTTGAGTATGTTGTGACTAAACACTGCTACTGCCAGGCCTATAACTACATATTGTATTAGAATTGCCAGGTTATTTCATAAATGTCACATAACTCTGCCTGTTTATGTATAAGATTCATCAGAATCTTGCTCTGAAATTCAAAATGTGATAGAATAGGTTTGCATGAAGGAATTCCAAAACATTCTTCTCCTGCATCTTGTCCTGAGAATTTCATTTTGTCTTTAATTCTTTCAGCAGTTTTTTAGCTTTTATGTATTCTTTTGCAACACATGTTTTGTGTTCTTTTTTCATTCTATGGCGGGTGGTTTGTTTGCTACATTCTTGCACCAGATATCAGAATGTTGAAGGCAAGATAGGACAAATTAGCAAAGCAGTCATAGACGCACCTATGTAAGTACTGTCGATTTGTGTGAACATGTGTTTATTCTGATTCCTTGTCATTTTCATTGATATAAATATGAATGCAAGTGCCAGGGTAGCTCAGTCAGTATAGTGACTGGCTACGGACTGGACGGCCGGGGTTTGGGGTGTATAGTAGGACAGCTATACTTTGCCTTATTTTTAAATGTTAATGTATGTTGCACAATTCTTGAACTGCGTTAGTGTCACTGTAAATGTGGTTAGTTTTTATGATGCAAGGTTTTGTCAAAAATGCTTATTTCATACTGGGCATTATTGTGTGTTTGTGGGGTTCTTCGTTATACAAAATAGGAAATTGTGTCGAGTACAAAATTAGCAGGTTGGATGAAGTCTGGTATCATGAATACTGTCCATCAGAATGCAGTGTCCAAAATATCTCATTGTAGTGGAAGAACATACTTTGACAGCACTTGAGAACAAAGTTCTGAGGATAATATTTTACCATATAAAGAGGAAGTAGTAGGGGGGGGGGGGAGTTAAAAATTATATGATGTGGCAGTTTTATAATTTGTATTGTATGCCTAATATTGTTAGGTGTTTAAATGATGGTGTATAATATATGGACTAGTAACATCTTGATTCGCCATTATGGCAGGGCATGCTGCATGCAGCGGCATGTTAAACACACGTTGTGGCTGACTGCATGATTGGCACCACTGGAACACAGGTGAATGTGACAGGTGCTCTTTCTCATGCTGTAACTGAAGACAGTAATTGATGTCAGCTGCCTTTCTGAATTTTGTTACACAAAAATATGAAGATAATATGCCGTGCAGCAACATAACTCAGCGCATCACTTGCTGTCATGTTGGATAGACAGGTCATTAGCGCAAACAAAATACTGCTTCTGTTCTGGCTAGTCCACTTATGAACAGTTATTCCCCAAGATGGGTGGAACTGTAGCTCATGTTTTGCTATGTGAAAAAATAAGTGGGTCAAATTTTAATTTTCATGCATTCAGTTTCACATTATTCAACTGGTAGCAGTCTTGCAACACCACAGTCTGTTCCTCTCTCTGTGCGACAGACCGCTTACCAACTGTTTTGTTTCTTTCTCACATTAGTCCTGAAGAAGCTTCATGCTGCTAGTTGTGAGGACTCTAACAAAGTGATATCCAGAATTGCAGTTGGTAACATTCCACTATGATATGAGGGAACTGTAATATTGACACTTACCTTGACATACCTTATAATATTAGTTGTTTAATTCAATGTTAAATTTATATTATTAATTTTGTTAAATGCTAATTTTAGCTACCAGAAAACAGAATCTGTAATTAAAACAACAGCAGAGAAAACTACGACTCTTCTGGGTGGATTTGGCTCAACTGTAACCTCGAAGTTTGGCCAGCTCAAGAATTCAGAGTCATTCCGCTCTTTTGAAGAGAAAGTTGGCTCAGCATATGAGAATGTCAAGGTGATGACCGATTCACTCTGCATGTGCATATCCAATTTTTACTGTTCTAGAATATTGTCACATGTAAAAATAGTAATGAGTTCTAGTTTTTGTAAATAGTACCACAGAATGTCTTTAAGAACTTACTTGATAGCAATTATTGTATAAAATTCATAATTTATAAATTTATTAAGTGTTAATTTGAATAAGTGATATCTACATTTTGCATATTTTTGTTCATATTTTATTGGTACAGAATTTTAATTATTAGAACAGTGTAGCTGTTTGTTATTTTTAGTTTTTATTTGCCTTATACGTGACTTGTTAGGTATAATCACTGGTCATCCAACCTGTTGTTTGTCAGATTTGTAAAACAAAATCCTCACCTTGCTTTTTCCACTTCATAGAATAATGCTTAATGTAATCTCAATTGCCTCATTACAGACAAAGGTTGTGACATCACGCTCCAACTCCACACAGAGCTTTGATGAAGTTCTGCGAGAATTGGAAGCAAATCGCAAAGCCAACAATGGATCAGTGGTCACTCCAGCAACTACTCCTACCATACCAGAAGACAGGCCTCTCTCCTAAGCACTTTACGAACTTCTGGTGCCGCTTGCAAACACTGAATTTGGCAGGTGAATCTCTTGCATCTTAACTCATGTTTGGTTGAATGAATGTGATGCAGGGAGTTTACATTTCCAGCATTAATTTTCATAATAAAGTAATTTATAATTTTACTGAAATAGATGGCCTTGAATGTAAAGAATTTGTATTTTATGGAAATGGGAATGGACCGTTTCTTTTCTTTTTTTTCCCCCCTCCCCTTACTAAAGTAATTTATAATTACTCTGAATCTGAATATTTTTGTCTTTGGTTGATTGTTAGTTTTTGTTCTGATAAATAATGTCAATAAATTACATTTAACATATGAATTTGTTTTGTGTGTTAGCAGTAAAATGTGAAAGCCATTATTATGTGTAATAACAAGGTGTTCTGTGTTCTGTATATTAACTAGTATTACTCAAATATCTTTCATGTTTATTAAGTAGCTATTCTGTTAAGTGTTCAGCAGCTTTCTGTTATAGTTTTTAATTTCTAACACAACAGGCTAATTTAATTTGCCTTGTTGAACATATATAAGACAAATGGTAATTTGAACACTTTGGAAGCAATGTAAAATCAGTGCTCAGCATCTTTATGTCGTGAATATGTTTCCAGAGAAGTACTCAGAACTGAACAGGCCCTTCCCTTGCATGCTCAGAATTAACTCCAGTATCCTGATAGGTAATTAGTAAAGTATGAAATGGGATTGATTGCACATTATTCCCATTACAGTATAATTTAAATCTGTCAGTCGTGACTGTATAAGTCACTTGCAGATGGAATTAAGAAGTGAATTTAATTATGAACATGAAGAGCTACTATTGCCAATTAAGACAAATATTCAGAAAAGTGACTTTGGTTTGAATCCCAAGGCAAGTTTTTGGGCCGTGTTCTACATTCCCATTGCCTAAACAGTCACCTCTGGAAAAATGTCCAAGGATATTATTTTCACCAGGATATTTAAGACAGCATATATAAATGGTCAGTTTTCCAGTGTCGGACTTGGTGCTGAAAGACATGTGAAAAAAAAATTGTCTTAAAAATCGGAAGGGTACAGATACATTTATTTGTATCCACATAATACATGAAACATACAATACTTGTAAAAATATATATAATAATTATTCACAAGTGTCCATCTGTGTGTTGTACTTTTCAAGGCACTTCCAGTTGGATTTTAGATGTGAAACTCAGTATAAAATTAATATGGTTACTGATTGTGTCCAGCTAAAATGGCTATTAAATCAGTTATAAAATTAACAAGTGCAGTTTTCCATTGTCACCAGGGTTAAAACAGATTTAACTTGGTAAATATCTGAATTCATGGAATATTATGGTGAATGGAATCATGCTCTTGGAATGTGGGAAGGTAGTATTTTAGCAAGGACACAGGCACAAACAGTTGAACAGAGACAAGCTGACGGGTATCTCTGATTGGTAATGTATATGTGAACAAAGTGAAGGCTTCGCGGAGACTGAAGTTGATATCTTATGGTTAATTCACCATTCAGCCACCCAACGCGGCTTGTAACCTGAGAGTCTTTCATCAACTATATGTGAACAAGTTTGATCAAAATTATTTGTAACTTTTTTTGTAAGTTATGCTTCTTCTTCTTGTCAAATCTGAAACTAGTTATAATTTTCTAGGGACCATTCTTCTAATTGCATTGACAGATTTGTTCTGTGACTAACACACCAGATTAACATAACAGAGAAATACATCACAAACTTACATCTGAACATGTGTGTAACACTTGCAAACTTGAAAACATGTAACTGATTGAGCCTTCTCAGTATATTGTGAGACTGATTTACTGATTTGAAGCTTAATAAATTAGGAAATGTATGCATATTGTAAATTATGGTGCATTCACTCTAATATTACCTTCATATTTTTGTTTATTTCTAACTTTTTATGCTCTCTTATAAAAATTAAATCAGACAGGGATGATGAGCAGTGTGCACCAGAATAAATTTGTATTAAAATCAGTCCCGACAGTTTCTTTCTACAATTTTGTTTGAAATATCATGCCCAAATAAATGGTTTGTGGCTTACACTTGAAATGCACACAGAAATATGTAGTTCTTTATGACATGGTTCATTGTACGGTTTTATTTTAAAAATTGGAGTGTGGAAATATACTGAGAAACATTAA